TGCATGCATGCATACCTACCTGCATACCTACACTCTACCGTTGTTGGCACGGCTCATTGTTATTTAGCTGCGACGCAGGTTGCACCCTGGCTTCGTTGTCCTTTTTTCTAGTGAATGATCGTGTGAATCATAGAACACGTATCACTAAAACACATAGTACGCAGTTGAAGCACAGCTGCCCAACACAGACACGTTCTGACACGAAGAAGGGCTTGTGCAGGCTTCCGATGATCGAAGCCCAACATCGGACAGCGACACAGACGGGTCGCCTGCACCTGAGGCTCTTTGGGCCATTGGTTTGGGGAAGGCTTCTTTCTTGACACCGAAACAAGCGATGGAAGCAGGGATATACCCAACTAGTGGTCTAGGCCTTCGGGCTTCGACGATCCGGTTGATCTTGCGACTTTCAGATCTCACGCAAGCACTCATCATAAGGCCTTTCAGTGAATCCCTAGGAGGCCGCCAAGAAGGCGGCTGCCCGGGCAGCGCCCGCAGAAGAGCCCGGGCAGGAGCCGCCCTGTGTTGCTGAAGCCCATGTGGGGGTTTCCGAAAATTAGGGGTACCTTATTTTGGGGTCCTTATAATAAGGATCCTACTATTTGGGGTACTATATTAGGGTCCCCTATTTTCGGAAACCCCCATGTGTCGAGAGTAGGACCCTCTCGCGTAAGCTTGTTGTTTCCGGGTAGTCCCCACTTCTGCCATTTTGCATGCATCACCCCGTGCAGGAGGTGCGCCAACGTCGCCGCCTTCTGCCCGAGTGGCTGAAGCGAACTACCCAGTCAGAGGGTGAGGAGGCCAGTTTGATTTCAGGAGCTGTAGGTTTCTGTAGGCAACGCCAGAAGTGCGTACGTGCTGAGAAAGGGTGCGTGAAAGGAACGGGCCATGTCTGACCAATGTGTGCCTGTATCCGGATCGCGGAAGGTAGCAGCCAACCCTGAGACTTGCACAGTCTCCACCGACGGTTCTGAGGCATCTGAGACGGGCGGGGGGATTGAGGAAGATCTGGAGTCAGGAGCTCGTAGGAGCCCTGTACGCATCTAGCCCCTGCTCTTTTCAAGACATCGTCTCTCGTCTCTTGCTCCGACATTTGCCAGACTGCCTTGCCCATGCCTCTGCGAATTGTGGCCCACGGCTCCTGGAAGGTACACATCAGCGGTCCTCTTATCCGAGTGGCTTGACTGTCGATGGGAATGGTGGGAAGACCGCAAACTCCACCGCGGCTCTACTCTCAAACTGAATCTCTGCAGCTTGAAGTGTCGAGCTTTCTGCTTCGTTTTGCTGGTCCTGGTCTTGGCTGAATCCGAAATCTCCGCCTCAGGTCAAAGGATGGTGGCGCAAGGGCCCGCGCTTTGACCAGCGCTTTGCAGAGATTCGGAGCCTTGGCACGGGGGATGTTTGGAGCTCAGAGCTTCAGAGTTCTTCTGGAGTTTTCTGTTGGAGGACAGTCGGGCTCCGCTTGAGGAGGTGTTTACCCTGTGAACTTGGTCCCTTGTTCATGTAGTTTTGCAAAGGACTGGCGAAAAGAACCAGATCGAGCTGATCTGGCTTCCTGGCTTCATCCGGCCTCCATAGTGATGCCATAGTAGTGGGCTTGATCTTCCTAGGTCATCGCTTGCAAAGGTTCCTGCAGGAGAAGGATGTCAGCATCCTTTCATAAAGGTCTCTTTGCAGTTGTGGGAGTTTCAGGAACAAATGGACCTCTTATTGGGAATTGGGATCCCCAAGCCCGAAACCCAGAACCCAAGCCCTAAACCCATTTGAAGCAACCCTCTTATGAAATGCGGTTAGTAAAGCCAGACCATGTCAGGAGTCGCACGGAGAAGGGGCTGAAGAGGATCCCTTTGCAGGGTGTCACCTTGGAGCCCTTCGCCCTGGACGGCCTTTTCGGCTTCCGGCTCCTTCCGCTTCCGCAGGCCCTGTTTGGATGCACTGCAGCTTTCTGGGAAAGTCGGGTCTCAATTGTCATCTCTAGGTTGGAGACGCAGGAGCTTTCTGGAGACCGTGTGACATGAATACATGGTGGATGACTGCATCATCTCATGTAGTAAGCAGTCTTCTAGTTTAGTCTAGGCATCGTGATCAAGACATGTAGTAACATGGTCCGTGACAATGCACGCAGCATACGGGCAGCTTTCAGACTGCCGGTAATTCAGGACGGCGACCCGGTTGACCTGGCCACCAAGACCGCCTCTGAGCGGGACTTGTGGACAAAGGCCCAGTGGTTATCGTATAGCATAGTCTAAGTCCAGTCGAGTCTAGCTTAGTGTAGCATAGCAAAGGATGGGACAAGATAGGATAGTATAGTACAGGTTGGTGTAGTATTGTATAGTATAGTAGAGTCTAGTATTGGCGAGTATGGTATGGTACAATGTAGTACCGTGTAGTATAGTATAGTACAGTTTCGTATAGTCTAGTATAGTAGAGTACAGTACAGTACAGTTTCGTATAGTATTTTACAGAGTAGTATAGTACATTATAATGTAGGTTAGCATAGTTTAGTCTGGTTTAGTCTAGTATATAAGAGTCTAGTACAGTCTAGTATAGTTCAGTATAGTCTGACATAGTCTGGCATAGTCTAGTATAGTCTAGTCCAGTCTAGTCGAGTACAGTTGGTCTAGTAGTTTAGTGTAGCATAGCATGGCAGAGCAATGGACATCATGGTCTCAAACGTTTTACGCTGGAAGGCCATAGCCGTGGCCGCTGCCCAGCGCCCCTCGGACGGCAGTCCCGTGGCAGGCACACTCAAGGCAGGGAAAGATGGCATCTTCGGGAGCATTTTCTCGGGTTCGGCCTTTGCTGCCACGGTTTCCATTTTGGCCTTCAGGTGGAAACCACCGGGGCAAATATGGGGACTCAATCCAGGATTGATGCGTTCCTGCAGCACTTCCGTTGAGATGAAGTAACATTCGCGCAGCACGACCATGAAACAACAACTTATGAAGAGACTTGCGGCTGCAGAGAAGAAGCAGGTGAGACTGCTGGAGGCCACCGTGCGCCAGGAGACGTCATGGAGACGCCAGTCACTGGTGTCTTGGCATTGTTGCAGAGCTTCATGTCGTCGAGAGAGAGAGAGAGAGAGGACTTACAGTCGCAAAACCGTTCAGCAGTAACACGGGGCATGCCACAGCCTCAAAGATGAGGCCGGGGTTCACTAGGCAGTAAAGGGGGGACCATGAGTTGCAAGCCCACGGCCTCAGCTCGTAGCGTTAGTACCGACAGACTACAAGAACCAGTGCGCGTGCGCGCGCGAGGGGGGCAGGGACCTGCCTTCCTTTGGCTGTGCAGAAGAAGAGAGGAAGGATGACCTTAGTCTATGGAAGTATTATGTTCGTTCTTCACTCCCCTCAACCTGCATTAAATATATGCGGGTGGGCCTGTGGCCCAGGGGTCCTAACCGACTCTCATGCCCGAGAGAGAGAGAGAGAGAGAGAGAGAGCGAGGAAGGAAGGTCCAGTTTGTTATTTGTTGCTGCCCGTGTCAATGCCCAGCCAAGTCTGAAAACACCTTTTCGACAACATGGGGTAGGTGACGGGCCACATGCACTGGCCTTACGCATTGTTATAACGACTTCCTCAGTTTATTCTTGAACCACTGTGATTGCTGAAGCTGTTCGGATCGTCGATGTCCTACTTCCCGCTGCCGAAGATCGTATTCGGGGAATAACCCCTCAACGAAGGCATTGCTCATTTTACCATCGTGCTGCTTCGAGATATCTTCGGGAGTAAATGGGGAGTCAATGCCTTGGTTGGTGTGCGTGGCAGAAACTCTTGGCACCCGCAACCGTCGGCGGCGCACAAGCGCGCGGTGGGGGGCAACAGCCCTCCACCATGGCCCTGGCGAAAGAAAGAGGAAGGAAGACAGAGAGAGAGAGAGAGAGAGAGAGAGAGCGAGAGAAGAGGTTTGATGTAACTTGCAATGGAGATCATTCGAACCTTCTCCAGCAAACCCGAAGGGGTGACAATCCGCCAATGAACTGCGGGTGCCCGTTCGCGCGCGGAGGGGTTAGCTGGACCGCTGCCTTCTCCTGCCCCGGTAGAGAGAGAGAAAGAGAGAGACAGAGAGAGAGAGAGAGAGAGAGAAAAGAGAAGAGACAGAGAGGATTCCTCACGGCCTCCACACCGAAGCAAAGCAAAGCAAAGAAACGCAGAGAAAGAGGGACCTGCTGAAGAAGAAGTAGAGACAAAGACGGAGTCAGAGAGAAAGCGAGAGGTCAGAGATCCAGCATGCAATGCCGGCAGTTCTAAAGCAACTGAAACAACCAGGCTGCAAGCGACCTGCGTAATGCCAAGAGAGCGAGCGCAGTAGCGCTACTTCCATCTCCTGACCCCGCAGAAGCCCATGGACGAAGGGCACTGAGAACGTCAGAGAACCTGACAAGCATCACGAATTCAAAATAAACAAGAAGCTCGACAAAGTAGATTAGAACATGTCGTAAACTACCGATTCAGCTTGCATCTGGTTTGTACCTGTTTCAAGCTAAGGTCCCGAGCCCACCGCTCTTCTGTGTCGTTGCCTGCAGCCGGGACTTGCATTGTAACTTCACGGGTGCGGGTGTCAGGTAAAGAGTGGCTGCTCACCGGGAGTTGGAGTTGCGGTGGTTGTGCTGGTGGTCGTAAGCAGCTTGTAAATCTCAGCGGCCGTAGGAACAGACCATTCAGGATTGAGGGCAGGTGCAAACGTTTGACTGGCGCTTGTACTAGGAATGCAAGAGGTATGTTGGCCTCCGATTGCTCGCCACTTATTGTTCTTAATTTGCGCACTCGAGTCCTGGCTCAAGCCTACAACTCAGGGTTACTGTAAGGGGTATTCTAAGGGCTTTTATGGGTGTTCAGAAAGGTACTAGTAGTATTTGCACGTAGTCTGTGGACAAGGCAAGAATCTGACTGAAGCCCTCTGCAGGCAGTGGCATGGCTTCCCGCACGCTACCTCGGAGGCAGCTGGACGCTTCCGGGAGTTTCGCGGAGTCCTTGGAGTTCCCTCTCGAGGACGGCGGGTTCGAGGGGCCGACAGGACGTGTGAAACGGCCGAAAACAGCCCCTAAACCCTAAACCCTAAACCCTAAACCCTAAGCCCTAATCCCTAAGCCTCTTGACCAAAACTCCTTACAGTACACCTGAACAAAGTTGCCCTGTCCACAGTAGAAGCCGGGCTACGAAACGTATCGATGCAGGACGACGACCCGGATGCCCTGATCCAGGTGTCTTCGATGTCGGTATCATCTCGCCCATGCTCTGTTTGAGACAAGTCAAAAGAACGGCTTATTATAGTAGATTCTGTTATAGTATAGTATACTATAATATAATATAGTATAGTATGGTATTGCAAAGTATAGTATAGTGTATGTTAGTGTACGTTATAGTATATTATAGTATGTTACAGTACATAAAAGTATCTGCCATAGTTCAATTTGGCCACCAGGTGGAGGTCTGGAGCTCTGATGGTCGCAGTCGCGGCGTTCTGCGTGGTCGGGTGGATGTGCCACTCTATTGCGCGGGGAGGAACTGCAGCTGGGCAGAAGATTTGGGGGTTTCCGAAAATAGGGGAGCCTAATATAGCACCCTAAATAGTAGGATCCTTATTATAAGGACCCCTAAATAAGGTACCCCCTATTTTCGGAAACTCCCATTTAAGGATTGTATGGCTACGGGGAATCTGTGGGCTTCTTGTAGTCAATTGGGTTTAGGCAAGGATGTGCAAGTATGGTCCAACATTCAGGGGGTTGCCCTCGGATCCTCCTCGGTGCAGCCAGATCGATGCAGAAGCAATCCTGTCAGCCCACCTACCCTAACCCCCAAAACCCCTAAAACACAAACCCTAAACCCAAATGTGATTCAATAAAGACCCTAAACTTTAAACCCTAAACCTTAAACCCTAAACCCTAAACCCTAAACCCCAAACCCTAAACCCTAAACCCTAAACCCTAAACCCTAAATCCCAAAAGGCATGAGAGAGCTGCAGCTTCCAGTGCGGGACTTGCACCGGCCGCGCGGCGAGGGCAGCCAGGTTGGCTCTGTGCGGCTGGAGGCGGAGAGTAAAGTGGGCTTTTTAGGGTTTAGGGTTTAGGGTTTAGGGGTTTAGCAGTAGTAATGCTAAGATTCATAATAAGGGCAGTTGTCAAAATTATGGTCCCTTTTATTGGGGTACCCTAAATAGTAGGTGCCGTATTATAATAAGGACCCAAAATGGGACCATAATTTTGACAACCACCCAAGTGGGCTCTGCTTTGACACCCTGGAGCTTGGCCAGGGGTTCTTGTTGAGGAGTTGAATTTCAGTTACCAACATTGGGTTTAGGGTTCAGGGTTTAGGGTTTAGGGTTTAGGGTTCCATAGTAAATACTCGATGCTTCCTCTTGGCGTTGAGATAGTCTGAGAGTCCGGGAGCTGATGGGACCGAGCTGCCATGTTGGTTGTTTGGGTCCAAAATATGGTGGGTTTCCGAAAATAGGGACCCATATATAGTACCCTGAATAGTAGGATCCTTATTATAAGGACCCCCAAATAAGGTACCCCTAATTTTCGGAAACTCCCATATGAAGAGGAACAATGGAGCTGATACTCTGCTTTCTTAACATAGAGCACCGGATGTGGCGGACTCCTTAGCTGTGTCTTCGCGCATGTCCGCCGTATGCTGAGTTGAGTACAAATGACGATCTGTTTATCTTTCGATGTGTTCCGATTCTTCATTTGCTTATATATATATATATGTACGTATATACACATATACACACATTATACACATAAGTGCATGCATGCATTCAGATATACACACGTATAGCCACGAATACGTGCGATGGTTACGCGTAGGTCTGACACGTCGACAGACAGAGAGAGACGGATGCCGCTTTGGGAAGGTGGGCTTCCACCAGAGCTTGGGGGCCCTGTTGCTGCCGCGGCCCAGCAAGCAGGCGACGACGGCCTGGCAGACGGTCGGTGGTGACAAGAGTATCCGGGAGCAGTTCCGGGAGCTGGAAGCCTTCATGCAGCAGTTCGAGGTGTTTTCGAGCCGCTTCGGGAACCACTGCTTCACCTCTCGCAGTCTCTCCATGGAGTACCGTCGCATCATACAGTGGGACAGCCCGCTGCTGACGCTGCTCTGCCTCCTTGCGCTGACCATCCAGATCGGTGGGGTTTTCGTCAAAACACACATGCAAGTAGAGCCCCATTCTAAAGAACAAAGAGTTAATTGAATGAGGAAGCGACTCTTCTTAGCAAGCTTGGCGTGGTGAAGCCAGGATTCTTTCATGAGTACATCTTGCCTGTCGTGGTGCTGGTTGTCCTCGGGGTTGTGCTGTGGTGCCTTGGCTGCAGAGGCGACGTCTGAACATCGAAGCGTCCATTGCGAGTTCCAGTTGAGCCGATCTTGATCCTGAGCTTGGATTATCAGCCTCCGCGGCGGGCTGGGGCTCAGGTATCATCCTGTCCTGCAGCGCTATTGCGGTTCATGGGAGCAGTGGTGGGAGGAGTGGCTGCAGTGTGCATTCTTCGCGACGTTTCCTTGAGGGGCGCTAGCCCACAGTAACAGCTGAGATGTAACCGTAACTTCGAAAGCTTGGAGGAGTCCTGGTGCAGCCGGCGCTCCGGCCCCCAACCGCGTAGCATGCGGTCCTGCTCCCTCGCCTCCGCGGAAAGCTCCCGGGCCTGACGAGGGAGCCTGTGGTAGCCGGGGGTCAGTCTGGAGCAAGTAACATGAGCCCGCGCTCCCCAACATGAAGATGCCTAGGATACCCTAAACCCTAAACCCCAAACCCTAAACCCTAAACCCTAAACCCCAAACCCTAAAGCAGGCCACGATAGACACTTCTCTTGCCTTCGCTGAAGCCCCCCAGGTGTGAAGAATCTTCCGAGCGAGGCGTTGACGGAAGATGGGCCGGCCGAGGTCCAGGCTGCACCTCGGGACTTTCATCCACAATACAGTGTAGTTATAGTGTAGTTATAGTATAATATAGTATAGCATAGCATTGGGTTTAGGGTTTAGGGTTTAGGGTTTAGGGTTTAGGGTTTAGGGTTTAGGGTTTAGGGTTTAGGGTTTAGGGTTTAGGGTTTAGGGTTTAGGGTTTAGGATAGGGTAGTGTAATATAGTATATGTTATAATATCTTATAGTATGTTTTAGTACGGCAGTCAGTCGAGTCCTTCGGGTGGTGGTGATAGTGATAGGCCTAGCATTGCTGACTAGCAACATCAATACCAGTAACTAGTACTGATGCCAACACTAGTACTAGTGCAGTGCTAATAATACTGATAGCAATATCAATGCTATAACTTTTACTATTGGAAGTTCTTTTGCCATTGCCATGGCTAAGAATCATACCAATACTAGAGCTGGTTGTGATGATGATGCCGACGATGATGATGATGATGATGAGGGGTATAACAGCGACGGAGGTTGTACACACACACACACATGTATATACGCCCAGGTATACGTGGCTGAACTTCTAGAAACCTGAGGCGAGGGAGAAGGGATCCACACCCCATCTTTGATGTTAGCCTTGGTTAAAGCTTCGCCCAATCTACAGCCCATCCGAGAGACCAAGCCGTGTACCCTTTCACAGGAGCGCTACGAGAACGAGCGCCGCCTGGTGCTTGGCAGGCACGAACGCCGTCCACAAATCCTGAAGGTTTCAAGGATGGTCAACACATCAGCCCGAAACAAAGTGGCCTGTAAACATCCTACCTTCAAGTCGTAGCCTTTATGTCATCCTAGTCATCAACACTGTCTTCATTTCAATCAGCATGCTCGTAGCCTCATTCACAAATTTCTAGTAGTTGGTTACGCACGCGCCCCGAGACCGCGGTGTTAGCCTGCTTGTTGCGGCTCTCACGGTAGGTTTTCTTTGGGCGGAGGGGTGGGTGGGTGGTTGAGAATGTCAGTTCCTACGGCGACCATGCCCAAAAACTGGCATTTATGGCGTTCTCGCCCTTTGCACAACATAATGCAAAAAGGATGTTTGACGTTTCCCGAACAAGACACGCTCTCACAAGCGTTCAGGTCTTTGGTTAACATGCCTAAAAACACTGGTGGTTGCAGCAGTCTTGCCTCTCCACAACATAATGCAAACGGATGTTTGATGTTTCTGGAAAAAGCGCGCTGTCACCACCCTTCATGTCTTCTGGGAACATCCCAGGACACCAGTATTTACGGCATTCGAAAGTACGTTTGACGCTTCTGGAACAAGATGCTCTGTCACAAGCGTTCGTTCATGTCTGGTTTGAACAAAACACCTGGTATTTACAGCCTTCTTGCTTCTTTGCGCAACATACTTCACCATTTGGAACAAGACGCGCTGTCACGAGCATTCGGGACCGTCGCGAGCGTATCCAAAATGCTGGTATGACGGCACTTTTCTTCTTCCCACAACATAGTGCACCGGCTAGTTTATGCTGTCACAAGTGTTCATGTTTCCGTTCACGTAGATGCATTAAGACCATGCATCAACTGTAAAAACCAACAGTTACTCTAAGAAAAGTAATGGGTTAAGGGTCTCTCCCAAATCTTTTTCCAAGTAATTAGGTTTTGACCTAGGAAGTAAGCACCACGCGTCACGGAACCACTAGGGTCCTGGGGCACGCGTGACATGGTAAACGCAGCCGCGCAATCGCATTCCTTACAGAAGTCGTACAAGTCAAGCCATCCATGATTGTCAGAGTTAGGACGGTAGCCAACAAAGTTGACATGCCAGCTGTGGGAGTCATCGGCATCATAAACTGTTGTGAGCCGTCTACTGCTAGTACTGTTACTCCCAACCTGGTCGTCAGAATCCAAACCGGCTTAATAATTCATCGTCACCCACCAATACTCAGCAAGCTCCTTGCAGTAAACATCGCGAAGAAGTGCACGTTGGAGTCCACGAAATTCTGTTCTTGTCAGTATCTCGGAGGTTTACCTCCCGGCGGCTTCGCCTGTGGGATCCTCCGCCGTGGCTGTGGCCCCAGCTTTGGGTGCCTCCGACACTGGAAAGCTACAGGCTATGCCAGACAACAGCTGCAGCCCTGAACGACTCTTAGTAGGTAGAGCAGAGGCAGACGATCCCAGCTCTTACACACCATGGCAAACCCTTGTCTTCTGGGCTGGGAGCAGGGAGCATGTCTGGAAGCTGTTATGTGATGCTTCGGACGATGAGGCACCCCGAAGCCCCTTAGCTGTCTGACGACCGGAACGCCATGGAAGGAGTTTTACAAAGAGAATAGCAACCCCAAATTCCCCAGCCATGAACCTCCTGAACCCCACCTAAGCCATTCATACTTGTCTACAGACAAAAGCACTAAACCCTAAATTAAAAAAACCCACCTCCTGAACCCCACCTGAGGACCTAAGCCATTCATAATTGTCTACAGAAAAAAGCCCTAAACCCTAAACCCTAAACCTTAAACCCTAAATTATGAAACCCACCAGCCCTAAAGGAGCGACTCAGCCGGCCGGCGTGTGGATCCCCCGAAGCCTTTCGAGGTCTCCGTCGCCCCCCACGCGTTCTTTTTCGGGCTTACTTGGAGGATCATGGGACTTAGTAAGTAAGGTTATGAGTCCCTTAATTGGGGTTATAAGTATAGTTACTCAGTAAGTAAGGTTATGAGTCCCTTAATTGGGGTTATAAGTATAGTTACCCTATTTTTTTAACCCTACTTACTAAGTCCCATGATCCTCCAAGTAGGTGGTTGTCAAAATTATAGTCCCTTTTTGGGTCCTTATTATAATACGGCACCTAGTATTTAGGGTACCCCAAAAGGGACCCTAATTTTGACAACTACCCAAGTAGCAGTTCCTTTAACGTTTCGTGGCCAGGCTTCGAGCCTCTGTAGAGGGTTCCTTGGAGAGTTTCCATGGGTTTTCGAGTTCAAGGGTTTAGGGTTTAGGGTTTAGGGTTTAGGGTTTAGGGATTTTGTTGAGAGTTGACGGAGCAATGATAAGTTTCATGATTGGGCTCGGCTCATGCCTATGAGGCTGGAGACTCGCCAAGTCTTGCGAGGCATGACACGAACATGTCGACTTAGCCATTTGGCTTCAGTTCAGTTAGAACATGAGAAGGAGGCTCAGCAGACGGAATCAGGAATCCCGTGCAGGTTTATGATTCTCAGGTTCAAAGCGGCCTGCATGTATTGAAGGAAGCATTGATGGAACACGGCGGAGGCATTCTGCAGCCAACATGGATGGTTCCAGCCAGGTAGAGTCGCTTCCAGGCCTGCTGAATTTGGCAGCATGGCATGGCGCCTCCAGGTTTGTGCCGTTTTCTGCGTATCAGTTGCGGCCCGACTGCATGTCACAGACGGGCTTTCGACGGTGAGGCCGTGCCATGCGGTCAACCACATAACAGTGGCCTGAGACATGTCTGCGCATCTATCACCGAGGGTTGACTTGAGCCAACATAGATTGCAAGCCCCGGAGTGCCATTTGAGGTGATGATGGCGATGACGCTCGCAACGTATCAGGGTTTCAGGGTTTCTGGAAATTTTCCGAAGTTATTGGCTGGACAACCTTCGGTATGCAAATCAGAATTGCTGGTTTCTGTAGCTGCTCCGAATTGCTGCTTCTGTTCTAGTTTGGTGTAGACCGTTGAACATCTTTTGGGCGTAGCCACCTGTCCTCAGGAAGCCCCTTATGCTGCACCTCACGGGGAGCAGCTTGGTCCGGAAGACAGATGTGGCTTGGGCACATTATGGAGCACACCAGCTCGCATGACTTTAAGCTGACTCTGGGTGCAAGGTTGTGGGATGTTGTGGGACTCTGGATGGAAGTTGTCTCAGTTCTCTGGGCTTCGTTGGCCGAAATAAGCAGGAAGGGTCCAAACTGTCGAACCCACCATTGTCGTGAGCTTCTGAGGTGGTTGCCCTGCCGCCGGCTTTCTTCCAAATGGGCGGGGAGGCCTCCGTAGAGCTTTCAGGGACAATCTTGTTTGGGCGCGGCCATGCTGCGGGTAAGACGGAACAATTGTCGCCCTCAGACTCGCGTCCGGACCGACGCTGCGTCTTACCCCGAACGGATGGCAATCAAAGAGTCGGCACACTTGTTACATTGACATATCTAGTCTCGCGGTGTGTATGTCTGTCTGTGGCTGTGGAGCGAACAGGCTTTGAAGGTGGCGATGTGTGTTGTGGCACTCCTTCTCCGAAGGGCGCTGCTCGGCCAGGGGGAGGGATGGGAGGGTTTTCACGGGGCTTTTCAGCTCCTTCCAGGGATCTGGGGGATTTCAGGGTACCGGAGCTTCTTATGCTGAAGGATTCCAGGCGGCTCAGGGTGTCAGGATTTGTGGCGCCGCACCGCGCTTCGCAGTTTTCCAGCCAGAAAGCGAGTCACTCCCTAAACCCTAAACTTTAAACCCTAAACCCTAAACCCTAAACCCTAAACCCTTAGTCGTCACTGTCCTCGCCTCGGCATCGGGCACTCATGGACGAAGCAGTGGCAAGCCCCGCTCCGACGCTCCAAGGTTCGGTTTGTCCGCCGTGGTGTGGAACGGGTGGAAGCACACAGCTTCCCGGCTCATTCTTGAGGGTAATGATTAGGGTTTAGGGTTTAGGGTTTAGGGTTTAGGGTTTAGGGTTTAGGGTTTAGGATTCATGGATCTGCGATATTTGGGATTCAGGATTTCGGGAATTGGTTGCTGATCATGGCGTGGGAGTACGGGCTCATGCAGCATTTGTGGTGCGACAGAGTACATCGGTTCTCACTACATCCTCTGCTTCGTTAAAACTACCCCTTTCTTGCAAGTCCTGCCTTCGTCAGGCCAGCTTTGCCATCCCAGCTGCCGTCTACCTTCTGATGAATGCTCCTGGGCTCAGTCAGGATACGGAATGCCAGCGCAGGCGAAGACAAGTCTGGAGGATGCGTCAGAGTCCTCTTTGCTATTCGATGCCACTTCGCCCATGCCACATCGCCTTAATCTTCAGCTCCAGGGGGATGGTGTTTCATAGCGTCTGCGGTTCTGCCGTAGTTGCACTCACATCAGCTTTGCTGCCTACCTCATACTGTGTTGCAGCCTCAAGGCTGCTGTGGTGTGGCCACTGCCACGCGACCGTGCAGCTCAGGTGCTAACTGTCAGCGCTGCTCGGATGCTGTCCCTCGCCACAGGCTTTTCTTTTTCGGCTTCCGTTTCGTCTTCAGCCCGACCAGGCTTGCAACAGCTTGTAGTCCCTTCCTCCAATCCGAAAGACCCACTGAGCTCAGACTGAGATCTTCCGAGGAATCCCCCCATGCTTCAGCTGTTGGCCACCATCAAGCTCCTCTGGTCGCACGAGGATGCAGCTTCCTTGTCCTGTCCCCCGTGCTACGGGCCACCTGCATCTTCAAGCCTCTGCCGATTCATTCATTTTTGCCCAAAGGTGCTTCAATAGCTTAAGTTTTCGTTCCGGCACCTATCAAGCCTAGAATCGCTTGCGGCAACTCTGAGGTTTGTATCGAGGTATCTCCGTAAAGCAGGAGCGTAGCAAGTTTCAAGAGAAACACCTACATGAAGTCCCCGAGTCCTCACCAAGGATACTCTTTACGGCTGCGGCTTCTTGGCTTCTCATGCAGAGGAGCCTCTTGTTGCATCTGCCTGTGGTTAGCGGTGTGCAGATCTAACGAAGCACCGAGAACCAAACCGCAGCCTGCATTGTTGCAGAGATGCTGTGGGTCGTCGATCCCTGCGTAATTCGTAGGAGACTCCAGCCGATCCAGTGGTTCGCCCTGGTGCTGCTCACCGTAGGCCAAGGGGCTGCGCTACAGCATCACTTTGTGAAGAATCCTCCAAGGTCTTGCAGGTAAGGCCGGTTCTAAGATGTTCTATCTCTCCACTTGGAGGTTCATGGGTAGTTATAAGTAGGGTTATAAACCCCCTAATATGGGTTAGAACTATAGTTACCCTACTTATAACCCCACTTATAACTACCCATGAACCCCTAAACCCTAAACCCTAAACTCTAAAAAAAACCCTAAACCCTAAACCCTAAACCCTAAAAAAAAAACCCTAAACCCTAAACACTAAACCCTGAACCTCCAAGTATGCAAGCGACACCGAAGCCCTGACCCCTTCAGGTGTGGCACTCGGCGGCCAAGGGCGCACCCTCCAAGATGGTCAGGAGATTCCTCAGGCCGCTTCGTCGCTGTTTAGGGTTTAGGGTTTAGGGTTTAGGGGTTTAGGGGTTTAGGGGTTTAGGGTTTAGGGGTTTAGGGTTTAGGGTTTAGGGGTTAGGGGTTCCTTCAAGGGTCTGTTTCAACCGACTCTGCGGAAGTACAGAAAGTCGGCAAGGGCCACTCCTAGGCCTGGCGTCGCTCCATCGCCAACAGCGACGACAATCATCATCGTCACTCTTATCGTCGCTGTCATCGTCAGTAAACGCATGAAAATCATCAATTGTGCTGTCATTCCTTTCGTCTGGCCTCAGGGGACAACGACAGGTGGCCTGTAGGCTTGCCCCCTGGACTGTTGTAACTAAGTGTTTCTCCGCGTGCATGTGTCTGCATTCAGTGTGGAAGAGGTCAGTTCGGTGTAGTTGGACCTTTTGCCAACATGCCTGTATTTCAGACCGATGACATCATGCTTCTCCAGCCCTGGAAAGGCCCCAGTCTTGGGTATCGGGCTCATGGTGATCAACTCTGCGCTGTCAGCGCTGCCCAGCTAATCATGGTGGCTGATGTCATGTGAGTCATGTGAGGTGGAGTGATAGCTGCATAGCCTAGCAAGTTGGACCGATGTAGCTGTGGGTCCTGTTGCATGTGATTCGTTCGAGTGTTATGTGACATCAAATGTTCAGCACAGGGCGAGCGCTGAGGCATTACGTTCGGCATAATGTGTGTGCATTTGTGCTGTATGCCAGGACGAAAACCCTCCGACAGGATAGCCCCGCCAGGTAACGCTTACTGTCCAACAGTGACATTGCCATCCCGTGCTGTAGGAGAAAGCTGGGACACACAAGGATAGCTTTACTGGTCCAGACAATATCCACTGCCCAAGTTCTATAGACGGTGTTGAGGCTGGGAGCCGTTAGCACTGAGATGGCTTTGCAGCTTGGCTACACTGTCAGC